TTCAGTGTGTCTTATGATACAAGTACTGAGGAAGCCCTGCAGACCCAGAATAAATCTCTGCCTTACCTAAATATACTGTTCTTAAGGTGCCTAGCCAAAATCTTTTAAACAAAAGGCTTTTCACGAAAAATTCATCCTTCTATTATTTAAAATTGATGTATTTGAACAATTATTATTGTCTAAATGTAATTCTTTTTTAGAGGCTTGAAATAAAAATCAGCCTTCCTGATGTTAGTATTTTATTGATTTCTTTTTCTTCTGTTCTCCCTCAAAAAAAAAACACACATCGGTTCATTTGAATCATGCATGGTGAAAACAATCTTAGAGTTCTTTACAAAAAACTTTTTTTCCCTTCTTTTTTCCTTTGGTCTGAATTTTTGACCAGGTTTGATTTTTAGCCTTTCAGCTCAGGGGGACTCCACTTGCTTTGCTATTGAAAGGCAATTGTACTTCATGCACTCTCAGCACATGAAGTGTCGAACTGTGGGAGCTGAGAAGACACAGTGAGCCTCTTTGCTTTTCTGTTTGGGCTCTCATTTCACTTAAACTGCCTGACAAATGCAGACGAGATCGCTGCCTTCAGTGGCACACATAAAATGCTGCTGTATACTGGTTGTGACTCCACTGACTTCTTTTTAACTGTAAAACAGGGGCATGTAGCCTGAGAGAATACATGTTTGTTAATAATGATTACTGGTCATCAAAACTGCCAGCTGCCCCTGAAAACTGGTCAGCTAGTCACATGAAACAAATATAATAGGCAAACCTTTTTTTGCTCTGTCTTGCTAAAAATGTTAATTCTTCACCAAGGAAGCTAAGCAAAAGGCTGAATTCTCCCTCTGCAACTGATGAACTGCTGCCAATTGCAATGGTGCTTTTCACCGTGGACATTCACTCATTATGAAAGGGCCAAGACTCCTAAATGAGCACTGACCACTGCACAGATGTTGGGTGGGGTTTTCAAAGCCATAATGGGAACCGGGCATCTGAATTCCCTACAGGTCAGTGGGATCTGACTTACAGGGTTCCTTAGTCAGCTTTGAAAACCAGCTGTAATGTTTAAAAATATCCAGTCCTGGCTGACTTTGATACAGTGGCCTACAAGATACTATCTATATCAGCTTCCTTGACTTTGCTCTCTAGCCTTTCTACAGGGCAATTGCATAGGAAGCAGTCAAGATAAACTACTGAGACATTGCCTTTCATAGTGTGATAGCAGAATACACAAGAAATAACAGTAAGGAGAAGGGGGTCTCTTTAAATCAATAAAAACCCAACTTTTATAATGACACAAAATCTGTGCTGTGAAACGTGGCATTTTCTACATCCAATCATACAGTCAGCCTCCTAAAGAGTGAGTGAATTTGGCAGGAATCCTTATGCTAAACTGTCTTAATTCTCCTTGACGGCATATCAGCTCTCAGCTGAAGTTTGCTGAGATTTAGTCACTGCTGGAATCAAAGGGTCTTTCTTGAGCAGCTGGAAATTGAGGAGAGGGAGCTCACATCATCGTGACCAAAGGCCATGCTAGAGGATTCACATCTGCAGTGGCAGGAACCAGTGACCTTGCAGCTTTGGGCCAGATAAGCGTCATGGAAATGGAAACAGTTGAAAGCACTGACTATCACTCTTCCTATTAACTGAATTCTCTCACCACCTGAAACTTATATAAAATCCCTGCTAGGCGGGTGTCTATGTTTCAAAGACCAAATGAGAACCATGTGGAGGATCCTTTACTTTGTGATCATGTTTATTTTTTTAGCTTCATATGGGGATGAGCAACAGTGCATAAATCTATAATTACTGCTATATATGCCACGGCTATATACTGGAGAAAGTTAGAGGGAATACAAGCCTTTCATATAATACAGAGCATTGGCTGTGATGCTGCTATGGTGGAAGACTGAGTCATTAAATTTAGCCAAGAGAATTATATGATGTGAGTCCCTGCAATAGCAGGAAAACAACCATGATATTCCAGCTGTCTGTGTCAAGTACTTATGAAAACAATTAGTGTTCCAGCATTGCCATTTAGTTAGTTGTTTTCTTTCCAACTCTGCATGGTAAAAATCTTTCTAATGCTCTACATTTTTTCCTGTTGCCTAATATCTCCAGTGCAGAAGAACCACACAAAATGCAATAGATTAGATATTCAAGACTTAAAATGCAACACGAACTCAGCTCCATGTACAGAAAGGTTCTAATGGCTTGTCTTTCAAAAAATACAGATTAAATAACTGAATTGGGATTAACTTGGTTTGTCTGTGTGTGTTCATAAGGAAGTTTCAAAGGTTTCTTCACTTCTAATAAATTATAGCTCTTTCCAGCAGGAGGGAGGAAAGCATGGCTCTACTCAGTGTGCTTCTGTGCATTGTTCCACTACCACATCACTGAAGTCTTTGGTATTTCAGCTTAAAGCACAGTGACCTAAATAGTCTGAGAATGTTTTTTTTTTTCACTAAGGATTATATGTGGGAGCAGACTTGGCCCCTCAGTATCACTGAGGCCAAAGTCCCCTGACCTCTGTCAGTCAGCCCACATGTAGGCTTTCCTAATTCAATCTTCCTCTTGGATTTGCATGGGCTATTTCCACTGGTGTGGTTCCCCATAGGAAAGAGGAGTAAAGTCAGGAAGGTGACCAGATTTACAACCAAAGACTGGATAACTGGTGCTGCTTAAAAAGTCACTAGAGATTTCAAAGATATTTGAGCTTAAGGACCCACGGTGGAAGATGGGTGAAATACAGGATTAGTTGAACACATGGGATCATGAGACTGCATTGGTCTGCATCAAAGTGCACCTTGGCAAAAGTAGGTTAAAAGAGGTATGGAGAATGAACAGAACCAGCACAAGGGGAGAAGAGAGTGCAGAGAACTGGGTAAAAGTATTGGTCTTTTAAAGGAGGGAACAAATAGTGGGCTATAGAAAAGCTCATGAGGACTTCTAGGAAACCCAAAGAGAGACAGAGCAGCCTAAAGAGCTGCATCCAGTACAACAGGGTGGGTTTGAGGCAGTCAGCCACTAATTAAATAAAGATGTTTTACAAAAATTCCATACTTAAAAAGGCTCTTTTACCAAACTGACAGTCAAGGAGGAGGTGACCTAAAAGCCCAGTCATACCTACCTACCTACCAAGACTACCAGATGGCCAAGACTGTAATTAGAAGGCTACAAGCCTAAGCTGCTGGGTTCCCAGCTCAAAATTAAAACCTTTTCTCAGATTCCAGAGGCATATCTGGGCTCAAGGTGGAGCTGAATAGTGAGTGGGGAAAGATTATATTTGGCTTTCATTAACATGAGTCAATACTGAAGCCTTTTAAATCTGTCCTCTGTTTACCAGCTCCATGGGCAGCGGATTAATAGTAGGGTTGCTGTGTACAGTAATGAGTTCTCAAAGCTATTTAATTTTGTATGGTATATTTTAGGCTTTATGATATTGTGATGCAGAAGACAGTAAGTTCCCAGCATTGTGGAAGGAACCCTGATGAGCCGAGCATTTCCTGTTGGAGTTATTGGAGGTGTTTGTTATCTGTTGCGATTTGATTTTTTTAGAAGCCAATTCAGTTTAATTATTTTTTGGGAAGCTGGCCTGTTTGGAATGACACTACCAGAGCTAATATACACAGCAAGGAAAAAAAATTCTTTATTTGCATTTTTTTGGTAAATATTGATCTATATAAAATAATAATAAAAAGCATATATTTATGGTTTACTAAGTTTTAAATTATTCAAGTATTATGTTTAGCATTCTAATGTTCATGCAATAGCCTTTTAACATCTCTTCGACAGAAGCTATGAGATATTGGGTTGATTCATCAAAACTGTCAGTCTCATGGCCCATTTCTCCCAAAAGTGATGATTTGACTCAGTGTAAGAATACAACCTGGCATATGGCTATACCAAGCCAGTTCTCCACAAACAATAACCCATTTAACATCAGTATTTCACAGCGATCCGGATGGTGTTCTGGAGAATTTGATTTTTTGGAAGAGTACAGTGTAGAAACAAAGAATATTAGCTGGGAGAAGATGCCTGGAATGAAGGATAGGAGGAACGGTATAGAGAGCACAGTGACCTAAAATACTTTTAGATGAGTTCGAATGCATTTTTTAAAATGAAGTAATAAATAATTGCTGAAAATATGTGTGTGTGTGTGTATTTATATATAAAATAAAGAATCACAGGACTACTATAGTCATGTTAAGGAGGAACAAGATGCTGCCATTGTGGAAATTAGATGACAGAACTAGAGAAATGCACATTTTTTAACCCAACTCATCGTTAAATGAATGTTAAATGATTATTAAATTAATTATCCCAGCAATTAACAACCTAACCCAAACTACTTTCAGAGCCACTAGAGATACCCTATGATGCATTTTTCCTTATGTTTCCAAAACTATTCTGTATCTCATCCTCTCATTATAAAATATAGATGTTCCAAGGACAGTGTATTCTAAACTTTAAATAACATATACTTTGCATTATCTCTGTCGTATGTTGTGCTTTACCCAAATGGTCTTACACATATTTTCACAGGTTACCATGAGCTGAATATAGCATCTGCATGTTCCTGACTTCACGTGAATACACTCAATGCCGACTCTTGATTCCCTTCTTACATCACTCTTGCTGGATCCAGCCCTTCCCCATTTTGAAGCTTTTTCATTTTCTCTGGAATCCCAAACCAGACTTCCACTCCTAGCAGCAGCTTGTGATAGGATGAGTAACAAAAAAACCCCAAGTCTGGTATGACATCCGGCAAATTGAAGCCTCATCAGCTGAGGGACTTCTCAGAGTCTCGATGTTCATCCTTTTCTGACTGCTGGTACTACAATGTGTGGGCATTTGGGTGCTTGCAGGAAATAAAGTCCAAGTACTTCTGTTTGGTTTTTTGTAGTTTTTATTGATATTTCATTTTTCAAATTACAGTTTATTTTGACCTAAAATAATGGCTGTAAGGCTTATTTTGTGCCATATTGAAGAACTGTCTTGAAAAACTACTTTCTTGAAAAGTCTACTTTATTTGTTCAGAAAGTTAACTAAAGGAAGCAACTTGTTCATCTGGTGTGACACAGTTGCATGGATGTACAATCATGTGCAAACCCAGCCGACAGCACTGTGACTTTCTATCTGCTGTAAGCCACCTCGTCTGCCACTGGCTGGCTCTCCTGAGAGGTGAGTCCTTCACTAGGAGCTTCACTAGGGCTGTTTTCTGCAGACTGCTCACCATTACTTGCATTTCCTAAAAAGACAAAATAATTAAGATTAAAATAAATGTTGTACTTTTGATGTTAGATGGTATACACTTTGTCGATGACACTTTAATAAGAGCCTTTTTATGCAGCTATAAATGTTCAGGAAGCAATTTTTCTCAGTTTCCAGTCCATTTTCAAAATGCTTTAGGGTAATGACAGATCACCCAATGATAATTAACTATCATGCTCTAAATAACTGCCACTGGAATGCATAATAGTTTGCAATCCACCTGTGTAAGACTTGTTCTCTTTTTTGCATTATCTCTTGATTCTTACCTACCAGGCAGGCAGGAATTCTTCCTTATTCTTTACTTTCTGTGATTTTACTCTTTCACCTTGTTTCAGAAGCACAGGTGCCACAACAAGACCCAACTGTGCCACAAAGTGTACTGATAGTGTTTATTTAATGTATCCTATGTAAAGTCCTCTCACTGCTGCACAGATGTCCCTCACACTAAAGAAATCTGTTTTCTAGTGGAGATTTCCAAAAAGAAGGTGCAAATAGAATGTGTAAAAGATGAATGCTAACCTCAACTTTCCTGATTCAGTCTTGATTCCTGTCTGAACTATGAACACTGTTGCTTTATTTGGACTCTCGTGTGGCTACACATAGTGTCTCAGAGCTAATAGAGAAGGCCTCAGCTTCACTAGCTGTTGAGTTTTCTGCAGGTGGAGTCCAGTCTGGCTAACTTGGACATGCAAAGTGTGCCCAAAGGTCTAAATTTAGGCACATGAGTTAGATTCTCACACAAGATTTCACTTTGGAGGCACTGAAGGTTTTTCCTTCTCAGCAGTTGCAACACTGGTTACAGAGGCACTTCCTTTAGGAGGACTGGCTCTGTTTAGATACCAGTTAGATGAATAAGCGTCGTAGACTGGATCCAAGTCCACTTGTTTGGGATGCAGTGAGAGGTCCCTTATAAAGGGACTCACTGTTATGCAGTGCAGTCCACCACACCATGCAAGGGGAATTTTAGCATTCAGACGTACTGTCTGAATATGCATAAACATTCTGGAGCTCCTGTATTTAACTGAATTTCAAGTTGTTAACACATTCCCTGGAAAAAGCCATCCGCAGCTTTTTTCCACGATGGCTGCTCTTCTTGTTTCTCATTTTGATGTTTCCCATGGAAACCATCATGATTCAGAATATAAAGCATGTCTTTGAAATGCAGCCATGGGAACTCCGTTTACTGAATTAAACCTTTTCAAGCACCATCACTTTCATAATTCCCCAGGTAAACTGCCTCCCAAAATGCCAACTTTACAAACTGGTTTAAAACAAAACTTAACAGACTTATAGATCATCTGCAATGAAACAGACTCAAACTTTCCTCCATAATTTGTAAAGGCACTGCCAGTAAACACCTTGAAGAATCATTGCATTTATGAAATAACTTTTGTTAAATTATCGTCAATTGCGACAACATAGATTTCAATTAAATGCCAGGAACAAATTATACATTCCATCATTAAATATTACAGTCCGATCACTAAATGAAACACCTACTTCAGCTTGAGCAATATTTTTACTAAATGGAAGGAAAAGCACAGGTAACAGCTAAGCTGGATGTATACACAACAGCTTCTAGATCCAGCAGTGAATAACCTAAAAGAGAAGTAAGTTCAGCTGTACACGAGATTCTAGATAATAAGAGGCTTTATTCCAGAAACTGCAATTCATGAGTTTAGGAGTAACTCAGTTTTCTGTTAGAACGAGACACAGGGCCTAAGATATTGAGCTTTGAGCCTTTAGTCATCCCAAATTTGACACTTCTAAGTCAAGACATTTCATCTGGAAGTAAATGAAGGATCAAGGAAAAAACCTGAAAGGCCAGTGGCAGTTAGATTTTATGATCACTGGTTTGTCCAGCTCTTCTCCATTTTACTGAAATATGTTGATTTTTATTTCCTTATAGATCACAGATATATGAAGCTGAAGAGATATTGATTTGAAGGAAGAGGTAAGATGGACAAAACAAGGTTCATCACAGTTGGTTGAGATTGCATCAGAACAGACCCTCTACAGCTTTGCACTTGGATGTGAAAACTGGATCATTTCATGAGCAACGTCTCTTGCTGCCACACTTGTAAACTCCATCTACCTGGCATGAGGCCACAAATTGCAGTCCACAATAACTGAGACTCAGCAGTCAGAATTAACAGTGTACCACAGAATCCAGAAACACTATCATGAAGATTTGTAAATATTGAAAGACAGGAAACTGCTCTTTTTCCCACTAATTATATGTTAGATTGGATCTCACAGTGTCTGACTGACTAATAGTTCCACCTCAGCATGGAATGCATAGTACAACATCCAAAACTGGTTTGCAGCTTTGGTGTCTCAAATTTAGCATCCAATATCATGCCAGAATCCCATACAACAGCCTGTCAGTACTCCAGGAACTGAGTCTGGAGCAGTCAGGTTACAACAGAGGGGCAATGCTTCTGCTCTAAAGGGAAGATCTGCAAGCTACCTCTGGTGCAAAGGGGCACAGCAACCAAGCAACATGATACTCAGGGTATCATGTATAAAAATTAATCAATTAAATAAATTAAAGAAAATATTTCAGTTCTCTTGACTGAACACATTCTGAAGTCTCACTTGTCCACTCCTTCAGAATGTAATTTCTGGAAGCAATGCAAGTGATAACCTTGTACTGATGGACTAACACTGCTTTGGCATAAATTTTGTCAGAACCTCCTTTCAAAAAGAAATGGTGTTCAGCCATCAGCATCTGAAGTTCATACAGTCCTTCTAGCTGAACATTACGAATCTTCTTTCACAAGCAGCTGGGCTCAGACTGTTATCAAGAGACCCACAGCATGAGCCTCTGTAAGTTACTGTGCCACGCTGAGGCCTGGTGCAGAAATGGGTCTATTTAAGTAGAAGTTGTATGAGACGTTTCTGTATTCCAGGGTGAGATAAAAGATGACTATCAAAGCAAGGTGACAAGCCAGCATTTCTATGAGATGGAATTTAGTAAAAATGAACTGTGTAGCTGCATTACCATGGTGCTGAGGCCAAGCAAATACTGGCTTGAAGAGCAGGCAGGATGTACTCACTTGTGCTTGCAGAATAACATGTTGACATAAATTTTTTAAACCTTCTCCTTGACAATCCATACTCCATAAATTTCACACTGTGTGGCCTGTTTTCAAAAATTTGACTCATCTTTGTGAACTCTTTCAGTGTGATTTCCTCTCCTCCTCTCAATTTTTATGTTTAACATTCAAGTATTTGGTTTTGGCCACTGACAAGGACAGGATATTGAGCTAGGCAGACCATTGGAATGACCCATACGTGAATGTTGTTATGTTCTTATGCCAGTATGGATGGTTTTAAATCTTCTCCATCTCAAAACCAGTCTGCTTTGGTAGATATTCTCCCACGTTTTGGGGGGATTTTCTGTAAGTGCTGGGAGTAGCCTCTGTCCGTGGTGCTCAGTCAACAGTCCTTCTGCCAGAGCCGTGACTTCAACTCAGTCTGGCATTACGCAGCCATTATGCTGTGAAATGGAGTTCTAAAAGATCTAGAAGCTATATCCAGGGCTGTCTAAACATCAGAATCAACTTTGCAAATTAGGAATATCTTATCCAGCAGAAAGTCATAAGAAAGGTTGAACTAGATGATCTTTAAGGTCCTTTCCAACCCAAACCATTCTATGTTTTTATGATACTATGAAAAGATCCCCTCTGAGTTTGAAAGACATTGAGGAATAGCAGGAAACTGATGAAAAGGCCTACAGCAAAATCTTGAGTCCACTTTTGAAGAAAGACTCTGAATAATTCAGGCTGTCTCTTGAACATTGATGCTTAGTATTTGATGGTTCTGAGACATTATAACCTTGTGTCACTCAAACATCAGCCTTGGTCCATTTGAGGTCATCTGCCAGGCACAAATAGCCTAGGTAGCTCAGTGTCTTGAAGAGTACATTTTGTTCCCAGAAGAGCAACTGCACCCCAAAACAGAAAGGACCTGGACTGTGTTCACTGTGAAGAAGAATCCTTAGGACATACAAAACACTTGGAAGCTTGCAAACCTCCAAGACTAATTCAAAACATCTCTGCCTGCCAAAAAGGCATAGTTTTGTTTGCTTTTCTTGAGGCTATCCAAATTTATTTACAAGATACACAGACATGAAAGGGAGTTTATTATCAGAATAATTTGAGTGTTCAGGACAGAGTAGTAGATTGAAATCTCAGCAAAGTTGGACTTACTATCCTAAGCAGTAAGAAAAAAATGAAGGAATCTCCACTGTATTTATGGACAAATACAGGGGCATAACCAGCACAGCTATTAAAAAACACACTAAAGAAACTTAACCAGTGTGAAGTCAAAGCATGCAGGATCCATAATGAGATATGGATCTAAAGCCTCAGTTTCAACTTTATAGTGGATTGAAGTTACTGTGCTTCTCCTAAGACATATGAATCTCATCATTCTCATGCTTAGTGCTTCCAATAGACCAAAGAAGAACATATAGCTAGTTTTCAAGTTTAGTCAAAGCTTATGTTATGACTGCAAATAAAGAGCAAACTATGAGAAGATATAGCTTCATCATAACTTCTAGAATCACTGCAGGAAGATTTATTTAGCTCTAGCTCCAGGACAGTGAAATGTTATTACACACTATCCACTATAATATCAATTTGTTTAGTGTTGCATCCTTTCAGCCTCAGGAGAGTCTTAACTATATACCCTGCACAATGCAAGATGTTTAATCAAGGAAAAGTATTTTTCCACACTGACATAACAGAACTAAAGTCAGAGGAAAACATTAAGCAGAGAATTTAGGCTTTATTTAATGACAGGACACAATCTGCTCACCTGTGGATGCTTTCAGTCTTCTGATATAATCAGACCAAAAGGAACAGTCTGCTTTTTTCAATCCTTTAAGAGTTGGCAAGGAAACAGTGAACTCCTTGTAGTTATCGCCATCATCATTTGACAGATACATGGGCCAGGGAGGCATCACCTTTGACATTCTCCTCGAGAAACTATGAGGGTAGTTTGGATTTCTAGGGGGATGGGAGAAATGATCATTAGAAAACAATGACATGAACAGTAAAATGCATAAGATCAGATAGGTCAATTAAATGTTTATCCAGACACCCGGACTTGTACGGTCCAAATTCAGTTCAGACTGGTGAATCATTCATGGTGTTTCACCTAAAAGTAATTTGTTAGGCTGGTTCACTTTCTAAGGAACAGGTACACAGAGCCTGTATAGACACAGGTTTATGAACAACCTCAACAGCCCTCAGACCCAAAGCAACCCAAACACATAAAGTCACAGTTCCTACTCTAGCTTTCCAGAGATATGTGTCATTCTTGAGTATGGCCACAGCACAGTAAAGTTGGGGATGATTCACAGAGCAGTTGGTAAAGGGTGCACTGTTTCTTCATATGTTTTCTCCTTTCTTCTGGGAATAAGGGAATCCTTAGACAAGACAGTTCAGAACTGGGGTCCCAGAACTAAGGTCTGGAAACAACACCAAGGCCTCTGTAGCCCCCATATATTTAAGTAGAATTTAGAGCTGCTCCATGGAGATAAAATTCCTCTTACTTCTAGCTAAGTGTCATACTACAAATCTTTGGAACCTACTTGACAACTTGGCCATGACTTTCCAACAGTGTTGACCAAAGCCCTCTATAGGACTACAAATTGCTAGAGGAAATGGAGGCTACTTGAGTGAGGGCAAGATCTGGGCTACATTCCCTCTACTGCTTGCCCCTTCCCCAACCTTAACAACTCTTAAATGTCACATACTTACCCAGAGTTTATAAAATTGGAAATATACTGCATAATTTGCAAGGAAAGGCTCTTTTCTTCCAGAGTAAATTGTTCTTCATACTTTGGGTAGAGTGGCAGTCCAAATGCATACTGAACATCCAGCAAGAACTCCTGACCCGAACTAAAAAAAATATTTATGCAAAGGTAATTAAAGCCATGATTTATTTATCTGGGGGAGAAAGGGAGCTAATTTAATTCAGAGAATAAAGTGAAGTTTTAAATAATTAATGACCATTGGTGAGCTGTGGGGCTTCTTCAAATCAGAACATAAAAGAAAACCAAGTAATTACAAGGAGAAACTGCCATTAAGTTAATGTAGGGTCTTTAACATGTGTTATAGAAGGAAATTGTGGAAGGCAGCAGGGCACATTTTCTAAACTAACTGGGCATATAAGAGAAAGTGATAGAGGGAGAAAGTCACTTTTTAAGCTACTCCTTAAATGTCTCTTAAGTTTTATACAGACTTTCACTAAGATTAAATTCAGAAAGTGGAAGCAAGTGGTGACATGGAATCTGGCAGCCATGACGGAAGGTTCATTATGGTTTATTTCACAGACTTGGAATAAAAACCTGGCCTTTCTTAACAGCAATTGGAGTTTTTCCATTGACTACACTGGGGCCAGGATTCTGCCCCAAATCTTTGGATAAGGAAAGATGTAATAGGAGATGTTTATGAAGATTTCTCTCAGACATAATTTTAATCTAATTTCTGCGCTGGCTGGGTGGTTTTGGTTCATACAACCTGTTCTCCCCAAGTTTTATATGGCAGTCAGGTCAAAACAGCCTGAGATCATCACCTAGTTCAGATTTAAGAAAAAACCATTGCTATTTAGTTCCATGCAATAATTAAGACATATAATAAGGAATATTACAACAATTCAGAGACAAGACTGGCTGGGCAAGACAACACTTCTAGGACTTAGTAGCAAAGGTTACACAACTCAGCATCTTCAAATCCTGCAGAAAAACAGTGGCCAACTTCTGCTAATGAAATTATAATTAAACTCTGCTCAACATATAGCTTTGAACCACAGCTGAGGACACATGTCTGGTATAGTCCAATTGCCGTTTCTATATCCCACATTTAGACAAAGGTCTTATTGACTTGGTTAAATGCTGCATGAAGGCAGACAGCATCAGGGGACCTGGAGAAAAAACAGATGTCTGTGAGGCAGGAATAAACAAATCCCGGATCCACTCAGCAAGATCTCATCTGCAGGGGCTGCAGAGGTCATTGTCAAAAGGTGGCACAACTGAGGCTGTTTTAACATTAGACATGAAATACAGCAGCATCGATATGACCCTGATAGTGCCTCTAATGGAATAAAGCTTGTAGTTCAAACCATTATGGGCAGGTGGACTGGAAGCAAGATGACTCCTTCACATTTTATGAGTGGTGGCACCAAAGCTTCTATTTCAAAAAACAAACACACAACCCTCTAAATGAAATACATCTTTGGTTGTATTTTCCTTAGTCTTATCATAATACCTCAGTAATACTTTGCATCTGGAAAGTGAATTATTCACAGATTATTCACCAAAAAAATGTAGAACTGAAACAAGATTAAAGCATATTTTTCTTCCCCAAATGTTTATAGAAGGATTAAGCAAGATCATAGTTTAATAATTTTGCTTTAAAAATAATTTGCTTGGCCCAGTATATTACAGCAATGTTTAGTGTGAGTATTGCAGCAAAGGTACCATATACTTAAAGGATCTATTTTCTTTTCAATAGTCACTTTTGAGGACTAAAGGTGAAAACTGTTAAGATCGCAGCTTGGACTAAAATTCAGCCAACTCCTAAACAGAAAACTTATTAGGATTGAAATTATTTTGTAATGGGTTTGACACAGAGACATAAAGTGGTCCAGAACTCTACCATTTCATGGGCTGCTTTCAATGTTTCTGGTTGATGGTACCACAATCTGGCCAGGGAGCTTTGTCAGTGAGAGGATGATAAAGAAATCATAAGGCTAAGAGGAAGAAGAGGCACATGTACAGAACAGCACTAAACGCAACTGTGAAACATCTATATCGCAGCTAGATGGAAAATATATCAGGGAAACATTTCTGTCTCCTCTCTCAAACTCTGATCATCATCCATTACTGCCAGAGGGAAGAGCAGAATGGCCAGAAATATCCAAACAAGGATTTAGGAGTCTTGTAGGAGCTTTGAGCATACCCAAGGTAGCAGCTCAAAACTGCACTCCTGGTACCCTAGGATGTCATATTGGTGGCTCAACAGCATCAACTCTAAATGGGGAAGTGTAGAGCCCAGCAACTGGTAGACTTTAGAAGACAGTTTGATTAAAGGGAAGACTGCAGAGACAACAGCAAAAGGGATTTTAAGTACTAAACTAAAAAGTACTTTTAAGGAAATAAAACTGATAACAACTAACTTCTGCTACAGAAGTCCCTTTTCAAGGACCAGATGGCAACTGTAGTTACAAGTAAGTCTTGGCTTTGGTGACTTCAAGAGACTAGTACTTCAAGCAGAGGTGTTGCTTCAGATCTTCTGTGTATACCTTTTCTTTTTAAGTTGTCAACATTTTTGGAAACAGATTCACAGCTCTTCTTATGTGATGGTATGACACACTGGTAAATTGAGCCATGAGGAAGCTGGGAGTCAGACCCTACCACTTTGTTCATGCTAAAGTGAGCTCCCCTTGGAGAATTATTACTTCACTTCAGAAGGGGGCAATACTGGAGTTCATTTATCCAGTTTACAGAAAAACAGGTTGTAAAATCAGCAACTTTGTGACATTGATTGCGAACAATTTAACAGCAGACCCTGAAATACCACTTGCTGGGAATTTTCATTATACAGTGTCAACCCATTTAATTGGGAAGGTATTGGTTCTGCAAAATTTTTCCTTAAGCCTGAGATGGAGTTTCCATTTAAATGTTTCCAAGTAAGAAAGAGAGAAAGGGATTTCTTAGCCATCAGATACTCCACTGCTTTCTCTATAGAACTGTGTCTGCTGTAGCATATAAAGAACAGCTTCAACAGGGAAGAGTAAAAGACGAGAGGATCAGCATTTAGAACAAAATTTCCCAGGTTATGGTTCATTTGATTCAAATTCTTATTCCAAATCAAGCAGAGGATAGATGTAAATCCAGATTTCTAACAGTTGAAGTTAATATCTTAATCACAAGCTTTTGGAACAGTAACAAAGACAAACAAAAAAAACCCACCACCCCCTCCTCCTAACACAGAAATCCTCTAAAATTTTGTTTGCAAAATGGAATTGTCATTAATGGCTATTCAAAATCATGGCAGTCAGAAGAGAAGAATACGATCTGGTAGACCACCATGCTTTGCTACATTAGGACTGAATGCTGGGGCTGCAAAGACCTCACACTGTGGTCCATTGTAAATTAGGACATATATCTCATTTTGAACTTTGTCCTTGTTCTGTATCTGGCTAATTATTTCATATTGGAAACTCATTTTGGTGATTAATGACTGACTGTAGCCTAATACTTACCTTTATTTTTCTTCATTAAAAAGTAATCCTTACTTTCCTAACATAACAATTTCAACTGATCTCAAAGTCTTTAGAGTCACAGCTTCTATTCTTAGTTGGCTTAATGTAGTTTTTGGTTCTTTTTTAAAACTCCATGCACAGATAGAAGCCAATGTAAATTAATTCAAACTTCAAATGACGTCCTATACAATACCAAAATACCAAACTTCTCACTGCTATCCAACCATTTAAATTATAAAATAACAAGATAAATATAACTCTAGCTAGAGATCAGCCACAGGTACCACTAAATTACTCAGGACGAAAATGCAAGTTGAACAAGAATCAGTTTGTCACTAGTGAACATAACAAAGGGGTATTCCTTTATAATCTGTTTAGCTGTATTGACCAATAATGACAGATATTTTAGTCCTCATAAAGCACAGATTCCTCACATTATTCCTTTAAATGTAAACTTTTATGGGCATAGGTGAAACCCAGACTCATAGAGTGAGTGATAAATCTGCTGATTTGAGTCGAGATAGGATTTCATAACAGCCACATCCCTGAAGAAAAGGATATGATTTATATATAAAATGCCACTGCCTGCATGATCTTGCGGCCCCATTCTGTGTTTATTTTCAATAAATGAATTTAAAATTAATACTTGGAATAAGTATTGGAAATACTAAATGTGTTTTTTTGCACACATCTACATTCTCTTCATATTAATACCAGCAGATTTGCAAAGTAGTATCAAGTACCCTAAGCTGCTAACAGGCACAGTCTTATCAATGTCATGAGAGAGGAGCAGCCAAGCACACTGTGCTTCGCTTGGACTAATATGTTCATTTTGAAGATAAGCATTTTTTAAAATATATGTAACTACTTATCTTAGAAAAGGAAATGGTACATGATTGCAGTGAGAAGAAAAATAATCAAAGGATAACTGGATATTTATAGAAATTTAATGAGCCAATGTAAGACCTGGTGTGACCTCTGCAGTTCCAGGGATGCATTTGGCTCATTGTGTTTCCTTACATTACAAAGTCCTGCCAAAGAAATAGGGGAAAGCATGTGAAAACCAGATGAACATTTTTCATTCTTCTTTTCAGGAAAATCAGGACATATGGAAAAAGCTTAACTCCTAACAGGATTAAACTGCCAAGCTTGTCCACCTTTGTACCAAAAAAACCCTACAGATACATGTGACTTGCAAAAGTATCCCGGAGCTTGCTGTGACTTTTCCACTTGGATTACTCCCAACACATGCAACGTTCTACTTTGCATTATAGCTGTGCCAATTGAAGAAAATAAAACTGGAGTAGCAGATAATAAATTCAAGAACTTGAAACCTCATATTAATTGAAAAAAATCATAGATCTTAATGCAGGAAGAAAGCATCTTGTCAGAATTCCTAAATAACACAGATTACAGAATTTTTTCAGGGATTACAGAATTTTTTCAGGGATTACAGAATTTTTTCAGGGAATTACTGAATTAAAACCCTACTAATAGGCATGTTGACACCTGAGTGCATCTTTGGGGGACAAAAACACATGCATTTGTTCAGTATGTCTACTCCTGAGCTGAATGAATGGATTTATTTCCTTAGAAAGTTGATGTGCACCAGGGAAGACCTCTCTAGACCTCT